ACAAGGCATGGCTCCTACAACCCGGTGGCTGCCAGTTATGGGCACTGTGTCCGGCATTCATCAGGGGGCCACCAAGCTGGGCAAAGCTGAATCAGCCAAATACAAGAGTTACGGTGAGCAAATACGATTCATCCCATAACACCAAGACATTTATTTGCGGGTCAGCGATGAGCAGGAAAACAGGAAACTTCCATGTTCGGCTAACCACAGTCTATCCTTATGTCAAAACCAAAAATTATAGTCAGCTTGGATGAGCAAAAAAAAAAAAAAAGGTAAGGTTGTAAACCACAATTTGGAGATGACTTGTTTCAGAAAAGCCAGTCTGAGGCCAAATGAATGCCGGTCTTTGATTCTTTCAAAAGCCTTCTTCTAAACGCTACGATGAATGGTTAAGGGGACTAGGTATGTCTAGTCTAAGGAAGAGCAGGATTAGGGGTGACATGATAGCAGTCTTCCAATATTTCAGGGGTTGCCACAAAGAAGAGGGAGTCAAGCTATGCTCCAAAGCACCTGAAGACAGACAAGAAGCAACCGATGGAAATTAACCAAGGAGAGAAGCAACTTAGAGCTAAGAAGGAATTTCCTGACATTGAAAACAATCGATCAGTGGAACAGCTTGTCTTCAAAGCTGTGGATTCTCGAACACTGAAGGTTTGCAAGGAAAGTTTGGATTTTCCCTTGGTCCAGGATGATATAAGGGTTCCGGTTTTGGGCAGTGGGTTGGGCTAGAAGACCTCAAAGTCTCTTCCATTACAAAGAAGGAGGCAGAAAGAAATATCGAACCAAGCAACCATCCAGGTACAGCTCCCACTGAATATTCTCAATTTTTATTTGGGAGACTCGACAATCCAGCCATTGCTTCCGACCACAAGGGGTCACTCTGAAGCTTCCAAAAAATAGGAGCAAAACAAGATGTTCCTTATGTTTCTCCGTACTTATTGGAAATTCTTAATAATTTATATTAGGGAGAATTAAAAAAAAAAAAATAGAAACAGAGGTCAGAGTTGGGAACTGGAAAGAGACCAAAAAAAAAAAGGACAGGATTTGGTGGGTATGAAGTGGGAATTTGAGCTGCAAAATCACAGCTCTCATGGGCAAAATGGTTCTGAGGATACAATCTCCATTCTGAGATTAGATCTAAAATGCCACCCTTTATCTGACACATCTGGGACAGATGGCAGCAAAATGCAAGGATTAAAAGAGTATTTCAGGCAAGCACAGAAATTAAAGAGACAGCCCAACTCTCACCTCGAATTTTCAGGTAACCTTGGCAGTTTTGGAGGGAGAGGAGGAAGAAGGACATCCTTGGTGATCTCTGAGTTAGCAGGTGTTTTATAACACAACTAGACAGAATCATCAGTAATAGAAGGGAAATGAGTTGGGGGGTGCAGGAGAGAGGGAGCAGGAGGAAGAAGAGGAGGAGGAGGAGGAGGAGGAGGAGGAGGAGGAGGAGGAGGAGGAGGAAGAAGAAGAAGAAGAAGAAGAAGAAGAAGAAGAAGAAGAAGAAGA